CTTTCAAGGAGATAACATTTTCTCATCCTCGAATAACAGTTCTAAAAGTGCTATATTCAGCTGGTAACCCCTTGAAGGCTAAAATCACCACATCATCATCATCAAAGAAAACACCAGCCGCAGACAGATGATCTCTAGCATCCTTGATGCGTTGAAGATATTGAGAAACAGAATCAGCACCTTTCTTAATTTTTGTAACTTAGTTTTCATCTGGAAAATACTAGCCTTGGTGATAGTAGAGAACTTGTCTTTCAAATTGGTCCACATGTCATACAAAGTCATACACCCAATAAGGCAAGACATAGCAGTGGGAGAGAGTGTGGCAATGATGAGTTGCATGAAAGCCCGATCATGCATTTTCTAGATTTTAAAGTCATCAGTTTCAACTCCTTCAACTTCATAATCTTTCTCAAATCGAGTAGGACATCGACGAGATCCATCAACAAAGCCAAAAATTCCATGACTTTCAAGCAGCAATTGTAATTGATAATGCCAAACGAGATAATTTGTATCATCTAATTTCACAGTAACTGATGTAGTAACATTCGGAATAAGATTCGTAATCGGAGATTGCACAATTTGCAACTGAGTAGGAGTCACCATATCACTATAACAATTTCAACGAATTGAGGAATTTTCACGAAAACCTTTGAAAAATTAAGGTTTCAAACTTCACAATCTTGATTATACAAAAGACGAAATCAAAATCAAGAGAGAAATAACAAAGAATTGTATAGCAGAAAAAGAAGATCTTCAGTTAGACATTTCATCAAACAAATGGCGATCAATCAACAAATGCAAACTACAGATCGCAAACTCACAGATATAAGAACTGGCAGTACCAAATCAAAAAGAAAAATGTGTACCGATCTTCAGAAAATGTGCATGGAAGCAGAAAGGAACTTAGGATCGAGAAGACGAACCCTCGACCAGCGAAGATACCATGTTAGGATGCAGAAAATGAAGCTTCTGCAATGGAGTTTTCTCAAAAAGTAAAGCACGATAAAGAGAGAGAGAGAGAGAGAGAGAGAAATAGAGAGGTTTATCACTGAATAATTCTTCAAATGTATTGAATGAATGTGCTTAAAGAACAATTACAAGTTATATAGTCACAGCTTTTCCTTACACACTAAGTAAACATTCCTAACTGTTTTAACCACCTAACAACTTATTGCTTAATCTCTGGACACTTGTACTATATAGAACCTTCATATCCTTACAATGAAGACAGGTTTTCGATAAAAAACCTTTGACAAAAATCAAAGGAAAAAGGCCAACATTGTATCTACCTCACGTTACAGCTGTCACAATTCTAAAACATCAGATGTCTACTATGAAAACGTTGTTGTTTCTGTTAGAATCTGTAAAAGCTTAATAGTATTGCAGCGATTAAGAAGAAGAAAACTAGAACTCAGAGAGAAAGGAAAATGGTGATGCAAAGATTTTGATCAAAATCTCACAAAGATCCAATATGCTCATCTCCGCGTTGTATCCATTCATCCATCAAAACAGTACAAAAGAGCCATTAGGCACTGATAGAAACTAGGAGAGCCTATGAGCTCATCCAAGCATTGATTACAAAATCCTATGAGATCTTCCCACTTGCTCACATCTAAGCCTAACACAAAATGAACTAATCTCAGCCATTGATTTCAAACAACTTATTATCACATGGACTAACAACTTACATAGATAAAGAAAAGGGTAGTTTAGACCTTAATCAACTAATACTCCCTTTTAAGGTCTTAACTGAAATCACTCCTAACTTGTCCCTCAAGTTACAATATTTGTCTTTGGCCAATGTTTGGTGAAGATATCAGCCAGCTGCTCCTTACTCTTACAGAATTGTTGATCAATAATTATTTCCTGAAAACAGGGTTCTTTGACATGGCAATAGCAGAGGTATTGTCACACATCAAAGTAGTAGGTTCAATTTGTTCTTCACTAAAGTCATGCAGTACAAATCTTAGCCATATGGCTTAAGTTGTAGCTTCAAAGGCACTCATATATTCTGCTTCTGCAATTGAGAAAGAAACTTTGATCAGTGAATATGTTCTGGATTGTTTAATTATTTTGTATAAACTTAGCTTCCATAAAGCATTTTAAGTTAAACAGGATAGTGAGTGAATAATAAGCTTGTGCAATGCGAACACATAGCTACTAAATTAAAGTCAATTATATCTTTTTAGTCGACAATTATATATCATCAATAAGTTTAGCCTCTCACCTAACACAAATGCAAAACATTAAAATAAAGGGGTGTGATATCTACACATCTTTTTTTACTTCTCACACACCCTTCTAATTTTCAGCCGTCAGATCGGATGAATTGAAGAAGATCAAAACACATAAATTAACAAGGGGTGTATGAGAAGTAAAAAATGGTGTGTGGATAGCACACCCCTAAAATAAAATGAGCTTTAATGAAAAGGGCTTCTCAAAACTTTTAATTAACAAAAAACTATACTAACTTTATTTAATAAAAATGGTTTAAAATTTAATATACAAAAATGGTTCAAATTTTAAAAAAAATGACAAAAGTTTTACATAATAACAAAAAAAATAAAAAAAAAGCCAACAAATACTCACGCGTCCATCACACACTTACACATACTATCCCTCACTCTTTCTCTCTCTCCCTCTTTCACATATTCCCATCAATTTTTCTCTCTCCTTTCACCTCACCCATGCACGTCAAGTTTTTCTCTCATTTTTTTTACCTCTCCCCGCTCTTCCCTCTCATTTCACTTCACTCCATAAACAATCTATTTTTATTTTATTTTATTTTATTATTTGTTTATTTGACTATTCTTCCAATTTTTTTAGAACAAACGAAGTAATAATATTACAAGATCAAAAATAAAAGAAATTTTTCATTATTTAGTTTTATGAACACTAATACTGTCACTATTTCTTAAACAGAACATTGACTACTTTTAAAACTGAACACTATTTCTTAAACTGAACATTGACTACTTCCTAAACTGAACACTATTTCTTAAACTGAACATTGACTATATCTTAAACGAAACATTAATGCTATCACTACTTCTTAAATTGAACACTAACTATTTGGTCAACTGAACACTGACTATTTCTTAAACCAAACATCTTGTAAACTAAACACTGATTATTTCTTAAATCTAACACTAGTACTATCATTATTTCGTAAACTAAATAGACTATTTATTAAACCAAGTAATAATACTATCACTATTTCGTAAACTAAGCACTGACTATTTCTTAAACCAAACACTAGTATTATCAGTATTTCGTAAACTAGTACTGTCACTATTTCGTAAACTAAACACTTTCTTAAAATCGAACACTAGCACTATCATTGTTTTTTAAACTGAACACTAAAAGGTTCAAAATTTGAAGCTTTCTTCTCATTATCATATGAATCACTGGCAATCATATTTATATTCTTACAGAGTTAGAATAATGATTTTTCACATTCCTATTTGTTCTTTAACATTTCTTCAAACAATTTATTTGACTTTCCTTTAATTTATTCAATACAAAATTAACAACAAAAACATAAATGAAAGATCAAAAAAGCAGTAGAAAAGCTAATGTGCTTTCATTGAGGATCATAATCTAATATTTTTTATTTTTAGGTTTTAGCTAGTTAGGGTTAAAATTAATAAAGAATTCCATAATTTGAACATGGGGTGATGATAAGAGGCTACACCACGTGTATGGCTAAGTGGTAGTCATGTATTGATGTCAGCAATATATTTTTTTATCTCAAATTTCTCTCTCTCTTTCTCTCTAAAATTTTTTGAGGTTTGTTGATGTCAGTTTGAATGGATTTGGTTGACATTCTCTTCTCTCTACCCTCACAGTCTCTCTCTCTCTCTCTCTCTCTCTGAACCTTTTCCTTCCCGATGAAATATTTAAAAAGTAATTTGTGTGCTGCATTTCCACTGTTGGTTTTCTGTTGAATTGGTAGATGCTTGCTTTCGCACTGCTCGCGTGCACACGCGCTTTGGGTTGAATAAGTTTTTTTTTTTTTTTTTATCTTTTGCCCTTCTCATTAAATAAAGTTATTAGGTGACTTTTGGTTAAAACTCAAAGTTTTGAAATCTTTTTTCATTAGTTTTCCTTAAAATAAAATCCTATACACCGCGCTACGCGTGACTGAAAACGATCTTTCGCACAAGCAAGAGAGCATGCGTTGAAAACGATCTTTTATACGAGTGATTTTTTATAGTGTATGGAACACGATTAAGTACATGAATAATAATACAATTAATTAAAAGTTTAAAAAATTCTAAAATGATCTTTGAGATTTGCATAATCAATAGAAATGGTCTATGAGATTCAAAATTAATAGAAATGGTCCCTGAGATTGTCCACCATCCATAATTTTGGTTCTTCCGTTAAAAACTCTTTGGGCAATTTTCAAAACTTCGTAACTCAATCGATTCTTAACCAAATTCGACCCATAATATATCAAAATGAAGATAGGAAAGTGTAGAACAAGATTATACCTATTTGGAAGCCCAATGGTTGCCGGAAGTGGCCGTAAAATAGCCTGAAAGGTGACTGGTTTGCTGAAAAACTGGAAACTCACCGGAAACTGGGTAAACTTTAAACGTTCATAACTTCTTCAATACCAACGAAATCGAGTGATTCAAAAACAAAAATCATACTTCTTGATGAGATGAAGATAATGGTATCTTTCTATATGGCTAAATCGCCGTGGTTTGGCTGGAAGACGGCTCGAAATTAGCTAACTCGAAAATGGTTAGCCACTTTCGAGCCGTTTTGCGGCGAAACCAAGGTGAGTTAGTCATCGATAAAGGTACCATTATCTTTGTCTCAGGTACCATTTCTATTAATTTTGAATCTCATAGACCATTTCTATTGATTATGCAAATCTCAATGATCATTTTGGATATTTAGCCAAAAAATTGTCCTTTTCTCACGAGCAAGAACGCGTGCAAAAAGGTTAGTGATTTTAAAAGCTGGATATACGAATCATAATGCCCTATTACATATTAATCCACGACGAAACCCTATAATTGCGGTTTCGGGAGCAGGGAAGAGAACGCCGTGGTAGGGCGGGGGAAGATGTATGGTGGAGGCGGAGATGAGGAAGCGAGCGTGGGGCTGAGAGGCGGCGGAGGAGGAGGAGGAGGGGGAATGATGAAGATGATGATTAGCAGTCCGACCGGGGCAGGGCAGTGGGCCTCGGAGGAGACAAGGGAGCTGATCGCGATCCGTGGGGAGCTGGAGATTAGGGACTCCGTTGTATCGAAGCGCAGCAAGCCGCAGTGGGAGGCAGTGAGCTCTAAGATGACTGAGAGAGGCTTCAATCGAACCCCCGAGCAGTGCAAGTGCAAGTGGAAGAACCTCCTCATTCGCTACAAGGTATGAATTTTCAAAACTGACAACGCACCCAAAAACCCCCAATTGGATTTTTCTAGGGTTTTGGTTGAAATCACTTAGAGGCCGTTTCCATTTCGTTTTCAATCAGTTTTCGTTAGCGGAAAATAAAAACTAAAAACGAAATGGTTATGAAGCGGCTTTTAGCAAACACTATTTAGTAATAATGACTTGTATATCTTCAGGGGAAGGAGACGTCTGATCCAGAGAGTGGGCGGGAATGTCCATTCTTTGAAGAGTTGCACGCAGTGTTTACTGAAAGAGCCAAGAATATGCAGAGATTGCTTCTTGAATCCGAGGCGGGTTCTGCCCGACCAAAGAAACTTGTTAAGAGGAAATCGAGGTCAGGGCAGTGGTCGGATGAGTTGTCAGAAGACGCGGAGGAGGAGGATAGCCATGGGAAAGGTAAGAAAAGGAAGGGGGAAGGAGTAGTATTGGCAAGAGCAACCAATCCTGCAAGTGGAAGTAGTACTAGCAGTGTGCAGGAATTACTTAAGGAGTTTTTTCAGCATCAGCAGAGGATGGAGATGGAGTGGAGGCAAATGATGGAGAAGCGGGCACTGGAGCGGCGGCTGTTTGAGGAGGAATGGAGGCAAAAGATGGAGAAAACGGAGAGGGAGAGGTTAATGGTTGAGCAGGCTTGGAGAGAGAGGGAAGAAGAGAGAAGGATTAGGGAAGAGAGCAGAGCTGAGAGGAGGGATGCCCTGTTAACCACTCTCTTGAACAGGCTGATCAATCAAACTAACTTCTGACTCACACTCTGAGGTGAATAGTTTTCCTTTTCTTTTTGGACGAAAGGTGAATGGTTTTCAGGTTCATAAACTTTTGCCAGCTTGAGTAGCGAAATATGCATCATTGATGGTTTGCGAAGATGTGCTAGACTGAAGTTATCGTGATTTGTAAAGTTGGGCTTGTTGGTTTATAAAATGTTACCTTGGTATACAAGTTTCGTTCGGTAGACATTTATAAGATACTGTGACTTCGATGGAGGACCAAACCACGCTTTTACATCGATATTAAGAGGTAAAATTGCTTGCCCTTTTATTTGCTGCTCCTGGCAGGGTGCAAGGGTTTGTTGTGCATGCTTCTTGTTCAATACACGAGAAATCTGTCGTTGTCTCTGTTTTTGTTTTTCGATTTCTTCGTTTCCTGGTTTTTTTGAATTGGCGAAAGTGTTATTTACGGAAGGTATGGAAATCTTGAGATAGGTGGATGAAAAATCTTTTGTAACACTAGCATATAGATTGAAGTATATGACTGAACGAGATTGCAAATGTTTTACGAATCTTATCTTATGTAACAACAATAAGTTTACTTCACTGTTTCATACATATCATATGCTACTTGTGGTGTAGAGGTGAATAATTATGTTATAAACAGGCTTAAGAGTGGGGATACACCTATATGGTTTCTCTCTCGGTCTCCCTCAATCTGTCTGCCTCGACGCTTGAAGGATGGGGCTGCACGCGGCGAAGGGTGCAAACTTGATATACATTGTTAACGGTCTCTCGAATATTTAAAGTTTTGAGGTTAGTTATCGTCTAACATGATGGATCGATCGATGGATGCAGATCGTGTACCTATATAGAACACACATAAAACTTATTCCGTTATTCCTGCCGAATTTTTGTCCAACAGTCACATTTAAAGCTTGCCCACAAATTTATAACCTGTTAAGTGGATTATTGGACAACACTCACATTTAAACCTGCTAATGGTGCATATTATAAAAAATAATTAAAAAAAAAAAGAAAAAAAAGAAACAAATAAACAAACGGAAAAAATATCATTTCACATCCCATGTAACCTTATAGAGAAAGTTATAATAATGGTCCCTCAATTTTAATCTAATTGGAGCAATGGTTTCTCAACTAAAAATTTATGATCAATGGTCTCTGAACTCTTTAAAACGTAAAGCTATGGTTCTTTTCGTTAATTCCGTCAAAACTTCTGTTAAAATGAGTCGTGTTGGAAGAATCATTGCTACAATTGGGTTAAAGGTGAGGAAATTTTTCTCCAATGGATTAAAGTTGAATGACTATTTCTCTAATTGGGTTAAAGTTTTTAAGGTACCATTTCTACAATTTTTTCATTTAGTTTCCCATATTGGGCTTTTAATTCTGACTTCACGTGCATGACAAGTGACTCATTTTGACGGAAGTTTTAACGGAGTTGACGAAAATGACCAATGGTAATGGATTTTTAGTTGAGATATCTAATTCAGTTAAAGTTGAATGATCACTGCTACAATTTTCTCAACCTTATATGTTGAAATTTATTTCTTCAAAAAAAAAAAATCTATTATCAATCCTCCTCCCAGATTACCATACAAATTTTTCTCCAATTGAATTAAAGTTGAATGACTATTTCTCTAATTGAGTTAAAGTTTTTAAGGGACCATTTCTACAATTTTTTTCATTTAGTTTCTCATATTGGGCTCTTGATTTTGACTTCACGTGTGTGGCAAGTGACTCGTTTTGGACGGAAATTTTAACGGAGTTGACGAAAATGACCAAAGTGTCACATTTTAATGAGTTAAATGACTAATGGTAATGGATTTTTAGTTGAGAGATCTAATTCAGTTAAAGTTAAAGGATCACTGCTACAATTTTATCAACCTTATATGTAGAAATTTATTTCTTCAAAAAAAAATAATAATAAATTCTATTATCAATCCTAGGGGTGGAATTTTTTGCCAAATTACCATACCAACCGAATTACCAACTGTACCATACCAAAGTTGTGCCAAAAAATTTGTACCATTGGTAATGGTACGGTATTTGTACCGTACCATACATTTTCGGTACGGTAATGATATTCAAAACCATTACCAGTGGTATACCCTACCGTACCACTACTATTAATATTATATCATCTATTTATTCATTTATATATATAATTAGGTATTATTATCATTATATATGCACTTTATTTTTTTTTTTTCTAATCATTTATCCAATCATCTCACCCTCTAACTTCTACTTTCCCAATAAAAAAAACCTAAGCTTTCTTGTGATGTGACTCTTCATCTTTTCACTCATCTAGTCATCGGCTTCATCTATGTTGCTCCCGTTCAGGCAACTCTCTCTCTCTTCGCAGTCCATCTCATCTTCTCCTTCATCAAATTGGGATGTCTTTCTCCCTGGCTTCATCTATCAAGTTAATTTTTGTACAATTTTAAATAATGTAGAGATGGAATTTAGGAATCTTTGTACTTTTCTTTTTAGGGATGTTGGGTTATTTCAGCAATTCTTCCATCTATTTACTTCTTGTTTCTTAAATGAATCTTTATAAAATTCTCATAATTAAATTAAAAAGTTTATTTAATTAGAGCAATGGTCTTTCAACTAAAAATTTATGATCAATGGTCTCTGAACTCTTTAAAACGTAAAGTTATGGTCCTTTTCGTTAACTTTGTCAAAACTTCTGTTAAAATGAGTCGTGTTGGAATAATCATTGCTACAATTGGGTTAAAGGTGAGGGAATTTTTCTCCAATTGGATTAAAGTTGAATGTCTATTTCTCTAATTGGGTTAAAAAAATTAAGGGACCATTTCTACAATTTTTTCATTTAGTTTCCCATATTGGGCTTTTGATTCTGACTTCACGTCCGTGGTAAGTGACTCATTTTGACAGAAGTTTTAACGGAGTTGACGAAAATGACCAAAGTGGCATATTTTAATGAGTAAAATGACCAATGGTAATGGATTTTTAGTTGAGAGATCTAATTCAGTTAAAGTTGAAGGATCACTGCTATAATTTTCTCAACCTTATATGTTGAAATTTATTTCTTCAAAAAAAAAAAAAAATCTATTATCAATCCTCCTCCCAGATTGCCATACAACGTTCACAAGCCAGGGCAGGAGCTATTTCTATAGTCACATAAAGGTTGGTTTGAAAATATTTTTAAAATCGTTTAAGGCACATAACTAGTGTTTCTTGCAATAAGTACTTCGAGTGCTTTTGGACACAAAAAACATTTTCTTCAAAAGTGTTTTCAGTTATTTTAAAAATGTATCCAAACGAGCTCTAAATCTCGTGATTGCCTCAATGGTTACATTAGATATGTTGCTATTTCTACAAGGATTGCTATTTGCTAATGCCTGAGGAGTGAGAGACTTGGGCTAAATCACACAATAGTTAATAATGGAGGAATTTAGTATTGAACTTGTCATCGGAATTGAAATTTAAGATCTCTCATTTACAATTGAAGAATAGAACTACTTACGTCTCATTTAGTTGACGAACCCACCACTAAATTGCCCTCCCTATCACCCGACTCTCACAATCCACAACAATGGTGACTTGGTAATTTTATGCACGACATATTAACCCGACACAAAATAACACAGAAAAAAAAGTTTCAAGTTAAGGCTTAAACGGGTCAGGTAATAAGCACTCATTAATAGGTTGTTTCAGGTCTACAAGCGGGTAATCCGTTTCAACCTGTTTTAACCCGTTAAACTAATGACGTGTTTACCAAATGGGAATAGAGAGGGAAGAAGGGGAATCACACTCCCTTCAAGGTATTCAGGCGTTTACTTAGCATTTAAAGAATGAAAAAAATAGCGAGGTCCACCTAAAATCCGTAACCGGACTCCTAAATTCCGGAATTGAATTACCTATATGAGGCGGTATTTACATTCCGGAGAAACGGCTACATCCTTCAGATAGAAAGTTTAAAGGCAGAGTGAAGTCCACACAAAAGATCTCGAACACAGGAGACATATAAGTATTCGTTCGATATTGGGATACAACGAAAATTTTCGGGTTTCTGTTCAGATCATTCTTTATTACACATAGAAACTTCGAGCAGAAACAAAACTTAAATTCACAGCCAATGTAACTCCAGATCTGACAGAACATTATCAATCATTCTTCCTAGTCATACAACGGTTCACAGACCAGGGTCAGAAGCTGGAGGGATTTCATACAAGCCTATACAGTCCAAACTCTGAAACAACACAGCAAGGACTTTTTACTTCTGCTCTTTAATGCTTTCTTTCACATGAGAAACTGATCATTCTGATTCAATGGGAGGAGGATTTTCTCTGGGATGTTTGGAACCATAGTGATCGCTAAGTTGCTTCGGGTTTGCAAGTTGTACCTGAAAACACACATTTTGTAAACAATCAAAGCATGCATAAACAAAGAATCAACATATATTTGCAGTTAAACATGAGTTTTTTTCTCGAAAAGTACACGTTCCAAATGCTAAAAGATCATAAAAAACCCTTTCGGTAAGCCATATACTAAAGTATGTGACCCAATGACATCCGGAATTTAAAATCTCAAGCCATCCAACTAAAGACATTACTTAAGCCTTCGAAGTTTTCAATTTCTGGGAAGCTTGCATTCCAGTACTGCTACCATACTCTATATAAAAATGAAAAGTCGCTGTCTTTATTCTTCCTTGCCACAGAGAATAATCATTGATTCATTGGAAATAGAAAGTTACATCAATCTACATCAATCTCCATTGAATTTCCTCAAATACACAGATCTTCCTCCTGGGTGAAGAGATCACAATCCATCTCTAAATCTGATAATAAATGCATGTTATCATGTACTTTATTGTCGACGTAAGCTAAAATATACTCTGACAGACATGTAGGAAGCTCACTATGAAATATTTATTTGGAAGTAGAAAGACAGCTTGAATGGAGGTCATTCGGCAAGTCAATCAGAGGATGGAACTCGAGTTCACAACACCAGTATGAAACATTGCTCATCACCAACTTCCACAAAAAATACATCATATCAACTATCATGATAAATTGACATCCCTCCTGTGACAGGTGGCACAGATCCTGACAATGTATGCTTATCAAGGGGCATCCACTACTTCTACCTCCTTCATTCAGTTGGGTACACAACCACTATATTAAGTGCATCATGTACATCTTCCAATGATTTATGCGTCACTGACTCTGGGAAAACATATGGTATGACCAGTAGGAAATATGTTTTCGAGCACGTTTGAGTTGACAAAAGTTACATATAGCATATGGATCCTTTTCCTATGCGGTCATCAATTATATCCTGTCAGTTAAACTCCTTTTTTTAATTTTTTATTTTCGATAAGAAACACAATTTTGTTAATAGTCAAACTGATACAGCCACTGTGGACAAGCAGTCCCCCATAACTATACCATAGAAACTGATGCACTACAAGAACTAAGATAAATCACACAGGTTGTGGAAATAGTTTTCCGACTTAAATTTGACCCCTTTATGTATCAATAAAATATAGCTTCCAGTCATGCTGGTATTGTAAGACTGAACAAAGCAAGAACATTTTTCTGCTTTAGGAGTGATTGCTAGCAAAGTGAACCACTTATTAATAAAGGAAACGAAGTATACCAACCACAAAAGCACACAAGCAAAACCAAAAGGCGGCAAAGTGATATACTGAAAGGGCTATAGTAACTCATAGGTGCAAGTTGATCCAAAAGAATATAAACTCCAAATAGATAGATTCATCATCCATGTAAAAAGTTACAACAGACAATCCACAAATTGACACAAGGTAAAAGTTAACAATAACAACAAATAGCCCACAAAAGTTGTGGAAACGGTATTACTATTCATGTTTGACCCCATTACGATATCAATGAAATATACCTTCCACTCGTGCTGGTATTTGGAGATTAAAAAGCACAAGAATTTTTGTTTATTAGTAATTAGAAATCAAGAAGAGGTCGCACTTGGTGTGATGGCAAGTGCCTTCGCCCATGAGCGGTAGGTCTCGGGTTCGAGACTTGGGAGCAGCCTCTCCATAAAATGGGGGTAAGGCTAGCCGACATTCACCTCTCCCAGACCCTGCGTAAAGCGGGAGCCTTGTGCACTGGGTACGACCTAAGTGATTAGAAATCAAGTGAACCACTTATTAAGTCACTGAAACAAGGTATACCATACACAGTAGAAACAGAAACAAAACCACAGGCTGGACAAGTGATGTACCACAAGAAATATAGTAGTTCTTAGATATGAGTTGATCCAAAGAAATGTAATCTCCAAAGGATGTATTCATCATCCCATACAAACAATAAATACAAGAATATTTCTACGAACAGTCTTGCTTCGTAATCATTCTACTCTGACAACAAGCCAAAATCAGTCAAACAGTCAAACCATAACTTATCTGCTTCCCTAGGCTCTCTAATTATTCCTTTCAAAATCTAGCGTCTTAGTAGAAAGCACCTTATGTCTAAAACTTATACGGATTTTCCCCTTGTTATAATCTGGATTTTTTAGTTTTTTAGTTTTCGGGTTGGACTGGTTGGTCTCTGCACTTTGTGGGGATTTCTAGGTTGTAGCTATATCTGCTTGTTTTTTCCCTTTGTTTGTCTCACTTTGTAGTTGTTTTGGCGGACCTCTTGTCAATCCTGTCCTCTCCAGTAATGCTTATCATTTTCTTTGATAAATTATATTTCCTATAAAACATGGAAAAAAAACTGGCATAAAAAGCACCTTAAAAATCTGGGAACTCACTAGAAAACTTTGAAGGGTCAGTAAAACTAGAATGACCACACAGTTAAGATGATAAATGTGTATTTTCTTCATCCCTCTTACACACGACAAACAAGTTTACTTGAAAGGAAAATCTCTCTTGACAACTAGACATATTTTCGTGAGTAGAAAATCCATGTCAGATCCTTCATAGTTCAGTGTACACACGGACTCTCTTCGGAAATCCAACTACTACATCGCACACTTAACTATCACAAATCACGGTTCTTTTAGGTCGCAGCAATAATCAATGATCAAACAATAATGTCAAATCATATTCTATACACCATCACTACCAATATCAAACACGTTGCTTTTGTAATTTACGCGAAACCCGTTGTTCATTGGAAAAACGGAAGTATGCAGACCGTTATAATGTCTTATATATTGGCCTTTAATCGAAGTCCATACACAATTCGAGTAATCGCAAACAAATGTACTGCTTATCGCTAGCGGAAGAGCCTCCTATGACAATTTACCCGAAGTTTAAGAGTCGGATTCGATGAGTCTCTAACCCAAAAGTTTCTCCATTTACTCCACCAACTAGTCCAAATTGAATCATCAAATCAAAGTACAATCTTCAATTCAAAGCTTTCATTTTATCGGCCCATAACAATCAATTAGATGTGAATTTGTTCACTGAATCATAAAATTTAAGAATAATAATGATTGGATTGAATAATTGTATAAATTCATGGATCATAGTAAAGATCAGATCAAGGTGGAGAGTGAAGGGTGAAGAGGAAGAAGAACCTTGCAAATTGGACAGGTGATTTTGAGAGCAACGGCTCTGGCCTCAAACTGAGACCCTTTTGCCTTCTGATTCCTCTCCGCATTTCGTCTCTGCGCTTCGATCTTCTGCTTTCCCCGAGTCATCTTTCACCGCTCCTCTCTCTCTCGGACTCTGGGAGACCGAATATGGGTGAAATTCTTATTTGATACGTAGTTTTGGGGCCCACCCAGTCTCATCCGCCAACCCAACTTAAAAGCAACTCAAATAGAATTCTCTCTTGCAACAAGGGAGGAGACCAGTCCAAGTATCAACACGCTTTTAAAACGGTTGAAAGAAATTTTGGTATAATTATTTGTGAAATGAATCCTTAATAAAAACGCAAATGAATTCTATAAAAATACTTGAAGTGTTTCATAAAAGAAGCACATAATTGATGCTTTCTGGAAGAAGCACTGCACATAAGAAATATAGACTCGTTTTTACACAAGTTGGGTCCAACTCGAACTATTTTGAAAACTAAAAGTAAGAACTGAACAATTTTACATCGGACCGAATAACTTAAGTCCCTGTATGTTCACCCCTAATATAGAGCATTCATCATTATTACATTTCACTACTATAGAATTGAGATTTCTCTTTGCGCGACCCAATGTTCTTCGTCACGAAGACTGTTCAATGTAGTAGTGACATATACAATGACTAATATTAGGGATTATTGCAAGTTCAGTTGTTGGACTAATAAAGGACATGTAATTTACGGTCTTGGTTGATTCAATGCTTATACAAAAAGGTTTACACTGCACCCTGTGGTCCATGTCTATGATACACCCTTCTCGACTCGGGTTATATTCTCATGGCCGCAAATGGGCTTATAATCTAATAAGGGACGAGCTTTTAATTGAGGCCGAATCAAGTAAGGTCATCCATGCGGTGCGCACCACTTTCAATTTGTCATGTTCGAATTTATTATCATGCATGCACTTTGTTTTGGTTAATATTTGAATATTGGACTTGAAAGAAGAAAGTTCAAGGATGCCAAATTAAATGAAGACTTGTCTGAAACCCAGCATCGAACCCAGAGACAAACTGAAGCCTTCTCAACCAAGACACAAGCCATATGCCTATAACTGAAATGACAAGTGATGGAGACTAATCTACTATCAGCCAAAAAGTACTTTTCAATGACACTGCAAGTAAAAAACTGATAACTCACTACCTTCCAAGAGCTTTTGGGCAAGAGCAAAGCCCTGACCATCGAGCCAAATCACCTATAAAAGGGAGAAGAGACAACAGAGACAATAACATTCAACCAATCAAACAAACAAGCATACAAACTCTGCTTTCAAGCCAGATTTGCATTCAAAAAACTGAAATCAAACCAGATTCAGTCTTTTTAGCAATAGTTTCTTTAGAAAAGCTATCTTTTATCTAGTATAAAAGCTCTGCTACTTCCCTTAGTGTTGTAGTATCGATTCCCTCGTGTAAACATGTTTACCATCCATCCCTTTTAGTTGTAAACTCAAAGAGAAGTGGCTGCAAGAGGTTCAACCTTGCCAGACAAGGTGAAATCTTGCCCAAGTGTCTTTGCTTGTTCTCTAAATTAGTAGATCTATTGATTAATGCACTCTTCAGCATGTATTCAAGTCATTTGTTTTTCTATTTTAAGAGTCTCATTTGCATCTGGATCTAGTTAACTTAATAGATATGTTTTCATTAAGAATAACTTGGAACCAAATGACTTAAAGGGCTTTGGACTTCCTCCATTCGAACATACAAGATCATGAACTAAAAGTCCTTGGTCACAAGGTAAGAAAAAGAACTTAATGCAGACTTAACTCATCTGCGACAATCCTTTGATAACAAGAAGTTTGAGTAACTTGGGGCGCAAGTAATCAACTTAAAACACACTTGTTCTACATCTGTTATATTGAGATAACACTGGCACGCCTAAGCATTTAGTTAGTTTTGATTGCGAGCCTTAAGGCCTACACCTAAGGATCCACAAAGGCACGTTTCAAAACTAACTTCAAGCTCCTATTGCAGCACACAAGACAAGCAAGAGCTTCACTACCAAACATACACATCCAAAGTGCCAATCCTTTGCCAGAGAAATCTTTGCCCGAACACACCTCCTCCTTTTTAGTATAGATAATATCGTTAGCTCAAAAAATTTATTATCCATGTGTTCAAAGATATCGAAACCGTGAAACAAGCGATATTTTTTATTTCATTATGTTCAACAAGCTAAATTTTATGCCAACCTTAGCGAAGATTTGTGTTTTGAAAGTTCTGTGAGGGAATATTACAAATTCTTCAAAATCAAGTGAATGTCATTCTTCCGACATTGAAGCACGCCATGAATGGTTAACAAAGAAAGAAATGAACAATGGATTCGAAGACGAAGAATGCAGTAAAATACTCTCATATGTTGATACATTAATGGATCTTCAACTCCCAGACAACGGAAGAAAGCTTACGGATGATGAAAAGGTAAGTATGTGTTCAGAGTTTTTATAGCGGGAGGAACAGACACATCCTCCACCCTATGATGCATGGACATGGACACGGATACGGAGATATGACACGGGGATATGTCAAATTTCAAAAAACGAAGATACGATACGTCAGGGATACGGCAATTAAAAATATGTATAAATAAATAAATATATCTAAAATATTATAAAATAAGCATTCAAATTTATTATTCAATAAACTGTAAACAGTTAGAAAGATAGTCCATCCAACAAGCAATTAGTCTTAAAACTTGAAAAACTAAGTTATTATAATCTAAATATCCATACCACTACACAATAATATATTATAATATGAAAAATACAATAATATTATAATAACAGAAAAAGCTAAAAACAGAAAAGCAAAAGTCATCAGATTTGAATGGACTATGGGGTAGTGGAATGGATGGGTACTATAATATTATATTATTGTCCTCGGGGAATCAGATTGTCTTCGAATGGGTATTATAATATTATTGTCTTCGAATGGGTTGAATCAGTAAAGCTGAGACTAGTGAAAACAATGAAAGCTCACCGGTCACCACTCACCAGGAGTTGTAGACAGATGAAGGAGACGACGGAGCAGTTGTAGACGAAGAAGAGGGAGACGACGTCGCAGTTGCAGATGGAGACGACGGGTCACAGAACAGTTGCAGATGACGGTCAATGGGGATTCGTGAAAGTCTCCCAAGCAGAGTGGTTTCTGAGAGGTAAATCCGAATTTTATTTTTTTCTGATTATCCTCTGATGGTAGAGTGATTTCAGTTAACTAAGTTCGATCAATCACAATTCTATGCTGATTTTTTGTGATTTTTTTTTTTTTTCTGATTATCCTTTTATGGTAGAGGCTCCACCACAGTACAACAGGTTATGGTGAACATCGTGAAAAACCAAGACATACCAGAAGAATGTTGAATATATCATTCTAGCTCAACAATAGTTAGTTAGACAGTTGAGAATGTGGCTGCGTTGTTATAGCTGTTATTGAATTAGTTAGTCATGATGGTTATATAAACTGTATTCTCATAGTTGTAAATATTAATTCAGTATCAATATCATCAATTGTTTCTCTCTCTAAACTCTCTCTCTGTCAAACTCTATGTGTTAATCTATTTCTCTTCATCTTTCTTCTTGATTTTCTCTTCAATTCCCAAACACTACAATGTAGTTAACAAAGAAGACATTTCAGAACAGGATATAGTAAAGATGTCTTATTTGAAGGCAACAGTGTTAGAAACTCTTCGCAACATCCACCGGGGCACTTCATATTACCACGAGCTGTCTTGAAACGTATAGTGGTTGATTGACATACCAAAAGATGCAATGGTGAATTTTGCAATGGCAGAAATGTCGCGAGATCCAATTGTTTGGAAACAAACAATGGACTTTAAACCGAAGAGGTTAATGCAAACAGGTCAAGAAGAGGTCGAGTTTGATATAAAGGGGTTAGAGACTTTTCAATGATGCCATTTGGTGCAGGAGTAGGCCAGAATTGCCCTGCTATTACTCTCTCACTGCTTCATATAGAATATTTTGTGGCTAATTATTTGGTTAGAGATTTCGAATGGAAGGAAGACGATAAGAGTGAGGTTGACTTGACAGAGAAGCAAGCTTTCACCATGGTTATGAGATATTCATTATTTACAAATATTTCTCCAAGAATAAATTGACACCTTTTGTTTTTTCTAGTTGGATAATTAATGTACCTTGAGTATGTGTGTCGATTTAATCCTAATAGTTGTACAAAATTTAATTGTACAAAATATCAAACTTGATGAACATAAATGTTGGAGTAAAATCCGATTCCGAGATCGTAGGAAGATAACGTTTGATGGGGGAGGTAATAGATACGTGTTCTTTGGCGCATTTGCTTTCCAGCTTACTAATGATGTTAAAGCTATTAGCATGGAATGTGAGAGTGAGTCCCTTGTCAATGACTTAAAAACAATTCATGCCTTTGATGTTTTGGTTTTTTTTCTGAATCTAGAATTAATGTAAACAAAGTTTTGGATGTTGTCAAGACTTTAGACTTTTCTGATAGCTTCATAGTTGATGCAGTGGATTTTTTTCTGGGAGTTTTTTTTTATTCTCTGGAACCCAGCTGTGGTTGATTTATGCATTGTTGATCGCACCAATCAATTCTCATAAGATTGTGTCTCATAATCATTGTATGTAACTCGATGACTAAGTTAGGATTACATTCTCAAACTATCCTAATTATTTATGACTGTTAGTTCATCGTTTTTTTGTAGCGACATTAAGGTAACAAATGTTGTGTTTGGCTCATATACTTATGAGTTGGCAACAATTTTGATAGTGTAACTTTCTGAGTGCTACAGGGAAATGGCAGTAGCCACTTTGTGTTTGGCTTTTGGTTGTGGCATGGATGTCTTGTTTCAAGAGAAGACATGGTGACTACCACAAGCAAAGTTGGAAGCAAGACTTGACTTTGTGGTTGCTTGCACACAATTGTGCATGTTTTATTGTGCATGTTTTATTTTATATGCATTAAATGACAAATGGAGAAAAGTTGTACTTTATATACTAGGTATAGACTTTGATGCATGCTAGGTAGGCTAGGTGATAATTATGTCATGTGAACTTAAGACTTTTTGGTCTTGTTTGTTGGCATAGTTGCTAGTGTATGCCTATAACTAGATGCAATATTTGTGCATTTAGAAATGCATTGAGAAAGCATCCGAAGGAGAACACAAAGGAGAGAAAATATAGA